GGGGTGGAAGATTCAGAAGAATTTTTTTCCGTCCAGGGGAATAACACAGATATTTTTTTCCTGTAAAAGTGCAGCGCAAGATATTTTTTTCCCAATATATTTCGCGGCAGGATATTTTTTTTTGTCCCTCATAATAACTGCTTACAGTAACTTAAGGCTTTCATATAGCTATCGTCAGAGACGTTCTGAATCCCAAGAGGGGCCAAGGAATTTTCACTGTGCTTTATTTTATATGGTTATGTCTTAATGCTCCCCACACTAAAGCGTGCAGGTTTACTTACAAAAAATGTATAACTGCACCAAAACCTAAAGCATGCAGGGATAGAGTAGACTACTCGAAAATGGGGGAGGTACAGTATATGAATGACCTGTAACCTTGGGGGGTTCGGGGGCATGCTCCCCCGAGAACATTTTTAAATTTGAACCTCGGAAATGCTCTTTCCTGTGTTTTCAGCCATGGATTCGTGCTTCTTTGCTGTACTAAGCCTAAGGAACACTTACTGTCCTTTATTTTAAACGAGGGAAAATCACAAAACGAGCTTTGATTAATATGTAATAAAACAAGATTTCAATAATGCGATTTTTAACTGCCCTCCGAAACAACAATGTTCCACCAAATATAGCTCTGTAGCTTTTCAATCGTTCATACAAATAGCTTGTTGGGGATCGGGTTGCATCCTCTTCAGAAATTTTTTAAAATCTAGACTCTCTAAACTGGCATTTTCGCATTAAAATCATCGTATATACAGTACGTTCATTTTGCATCCTGTAGATGGGCCTTTGAAGCCTCGTTTGGAGCATAGTTTGGAGCTATGTTATCAAAAAACGCACACAGACTCAACCATCCAAAAATACTTTTTCTACCGTGCATATTAGATATGTATAAATAACTTATAAACTTGTACATATCTTAAGCCAGATTTTCTCAGGGGGGGCAACAATTTTGCCAGGGAACGCCCTGCTATCGTATGTTATAGACTCCAAAGGCGGTAGAATCCCTGTGATGTTGTCCACTGTTCACCCAGTGTTCTTCTAAGCAAATGTGCCTGCTCAAAAATGCAAAATCTTGCAAGCCTGTGGACACAATACTGAAGTGAAGAACGTCAGTAGATTTAGATGTAGGAATTTTTTTTTTGAGCGCTTTTTTTTGCATGATATTTTTTTCCTCGTTTGTATGCTGCATGATTTTTTTTCTTTCTCCTTGGATTGCAGGAATTTTTTTTTCGAAATCTTCCAACCCTCCCCCCCCCCCTTAAAAATCAAATGGTCCGCCCCTTATACTTGTAAGTGACAATGTACTTTAATGTACTACTTGTAGTTTAATTTTTACAGCTGCATGAACAGAATGACAATGTACACTACAGTAATAGTAATTATTTTATGAGTCCGAAATCATTAATCAAATGATGTTATATTTATGTACGTAATGAACTTCACTTCACCACTTCTTCTTTCTTTTGCTATGTTTGGTACTATGTATTATAATTTATCTTATTGATCTTCCAAAATAAGTGATGTTTTGCTTGAATTCAGGGCTTGAATTTTATCGCGACAATTGCTGTAGAGGGAGAACAAAATGCTGTGGATCATTGCGGCAATGACGGCAATTTTTTGCCGTATAGTATTTTTAAACTCATGTTCACTGTGCATTACTATTTTGATACTTGAATTCAGATGTTGATCAAATCATCCGTAAATTACTATTTTAGTCTCAGTTTTCTTCGAAAAAAAAACCCACTAAAGAAATACGTAAACATGTTTCTAGCTTGTCAGCAATCCAAAGTCTGTAACAATAAAATTAAATTTTTATTACAGCAATTTGGAAAAAAATGCCGTGGAAACTGACAAAATTGCCGTAGACAGCTGTTACGTTCTACGGCAATTTTTAACGCCATTGCCGTCAATTGATTTCAGGAAAATTCGAGGCCAACTTGAATTCCAGTTGGAACATAACAAACATCGTGTTGGTTCGCTTGTACTTTTGTATATAAAATTTTTCCTGTGACCAGACGAAAAGTAACCGGCGGTAAAAGTTCAAGTAGCCGGCGGAACTCCGCCGGCCGCCGGCTTATTCTGAAACCCCTGCAGTAAAAGCAAAAACTATGGACAATTTTGTAGAAATAAATCTTTAATTAATGGTATTTGTACGACATAACATAACAATTTTCAAAGCGTTGTTGCGACTCGAATGCCATCGCTCATTTACCGATTAGATTTACCGAGGGTGCTAACAGCCTAACAGTAAACAAGCGTAATTCAAGATTTAGTGAATCCTCGAGAATTAGTGAATCCTCGAGAATTAGTGAATCCTCCACTTTAGTCAATATGGATATAGCAGCTAAAGTTATTGACGGTTTTGAATACCTTGGAAGGTTTGCTAGTTATTGCTAGAAGGAAAATGTAAGTACGAGAATAGCAAATTCTCGTGTACCTACGTGGTACTCGGCTAAAAACAAAGAAGTACCAGACCGTAATTTTGGCGTACCTCCGGTACGTTGGTACGCGAATTATCGCACCCTGCAGTGATCATATTGTCATTACCTCCGCCAGGTTATGTTTTCATCCGCGTTTGTTCGATAACTTAGAAATATAATTGTTTTTGTTTGTGGAAACACCACGTAAATTTATTACTGCAAAGCTTTCCATCCGTAAGCCCGGATCTTCATCAGTGCTAATAATATTAAACAAGTCACATATTATTAGCACTGATGAAGAGCCGGGCTTACGGATCGAAAGCTTTGCAGTAATAAATTTACGTGGTGTTTCCACAAACAAAAACAATTATATTTTATCGCCATGCAAACATTCAAAGAACTTATAACTTAGAAATAGCCAAGCTGTATAGCGAACGAGTGAATGCAATGAGCGAGTGAGCAAATTAACAAGTTTGACAATGCAGTACAAAAGCACTACCCATGAACAAATTAGTTTATATGTACTGTACCGTAATTGTACAGATGCTATAACTAATAAGTCATGATAAAAGGCGAAAAATTCAAGCCGTGAGTGAGTTTACTCATACTGGTTATTGTTGTGTCATTGGATTGGGCGAAACGTTTTTTTTTCTCACGTCTGAGAAGGTTCTTTCCCCCTCCTGATGCCATTGTGCCATTAAGTATATCTATTCGCAAAACTCAGTATCTATATATTATAAATATGGAGTAGTTTCAAACCAAATCATTTTGATTTTCTTGGCAAGCTTGTACTCTTAACTCGTATATGTGAACAAGTTTTGGCATGTTAAAATCCCACTTCGGCGAACAGGGCTAACACGACAGCTAGTCAGGCCCATGATGTAGAAAGTACAAGAAATCTAAAGTAGGGTCAGATTTGATTTCCACTACCTCTCACTGGCTTAGTACGCATCTGATTGGTTAATCGGATGGATCAAATGCATCTGATTGGTCAATAGTCGATTAATGTTAGTGGTAGCGGTAATGCATCCCCTGAGCGGGTTGTACGAAAGCTAGATAGCAGCCACCGGAGTAAACATGTTAATTGGTATATAACCCTGATTAAACTTTAGCATTTAAAAATGGTTTCTTTTTATTAATTTTTGAAGTCCATATTTCTAAGTTTATAGCTTTCTAACCATTTTTACATCAGCTGATAAAATCACTATGTAGTGAATAGCACTATCTGGCTTTCGATATATACAATGGCCGGCACTGTGCAAGAAAGCTTTTATTTATCGCCGCCGATGAGAGGTTGTTCTTAATTGACCCATCAAATTGTTGTCATGTATATTATAACTGACGCGCTGTATGCAACTACAGTACAGCATTAAACTTTTAATTAGATTTTCAAGTTCGGTTATTTCGCCATGTTTGTTCAAGACCAAATATATTTCCTTTTCCTAGGCGTTTGACCTGGTCGGATAATGCGAGCTATAGACGAATTTAAAGGATTAGTGTCAGGGTCATGCATTGCGGGCTTTTGTTATTGTTTACATTTTACTTAAATACAACAAATAACGGTAAAAATACCTTGTTTGGTACATTTCTGATAAAAATCACACAAAAAGAGCAAGGATTATAAAAGGATGATTTAAATATATGATGGATTGTAAAAACTTTCCAGATCATCTAATCTATTCGTCCCGAAAAATGGCCGCCAGCAGGAGTTTGAGCCCGCGAATTTCCGGTGTGACACTAATCCTTTGATTCAACTTGTGTCACCTGTCGAATTCAGCTGGGTTGACTGTGTTGTCATTTATTCGGAATTTTCCGAAGAAACTCGAAGCTTCAAAGAGAAATAACACGAGTTTCAGAACGCCTTGAACGGGTTCCTAAAGGCCTGTTTACACTTGCAATTTTCACTGCGATTTTATGTGCGATTTTTTCTGCTGACGTGATGGCGACATGAAATCGCCAGTGTAAACACCCTGCGATTTAAGTGCAATTTCAGTGCAATTCAAGTGCAACAAGGTGCGATATTTTCAATCTTGCTCAAAATTTATCGCACTTCGCTGCGATTTTTGCAATAAAATTAAGCAAAACGTGACTCTGTCACCCCTGCATAGTTGTTTTTGGCGAGCAAAAATGGCGGAAAAAACAAAAACGCTGCAGAAATGTAAAAATAAAAAGGTATGTTGGACAGTCGAGGAGGAAGAGCTTTTGGTGGAGTTATGGCCAAACTATGAATGCCTTTATAAGACAAACAGTCCAGAGTTCAAGAGAGTGGACAAACGGCAGTCTGCCCGCGAAGACATAAGAAGAAAACTTGAAACAGAACTGGAAAGCTCGTTCACTGGTAAAAAAACACATTTAATTTAACTTTTAATTTGATAACCAAACAGTGTATAATTTATAATTAATATAAATTTATATTTAGCTACTTCAAAGAAATGGCTATATAAATGCTTATAGTTTTCTAGACAATGTATTTCATCAAACCTTAACCATAAATCATGCCATGAACGTCGGTCTGTTTTCCAGTTTTTGCTTGTTTGGCAAACAACTTGTTGCAAAATCACCAGTGATTTAATTCTTATCTTTTAACTTTTATACTAAAACCATTTTTTGTTCCTTCCTTTTCCATTCAAGATGCAGATATTAAAGCTAAGATTAGGAACTTGCGAACGCAGTACGGCAAAGAGATGGGAAAAGTGAGAGCTTCCGTAGCGAGTGGTGCAGGGACAAGCAGTGTTTACGAGCCATCATGGCGATTTTATAACTCATTGCATTTTCTGCGAGACAGTATCACACCGGTGAAAACGAAGCCAACGTCAGGCGTCCCAGAAGTCAGACTAAGGGGTCGTTCAGACTGGGTGCCCGGCACTAGTGCCCGGGCACCGGGCACGGTAAAACAGGATGTTCAGACTGGTTCCCAAAGCCTAGTATAATATTTGGCGGGAAATAGTTTCTTTTGTGCGCGAAAAACCGTAAGGCATAAAAATGTGCATGCAATGTGTTTTTCTCTCACAATTTTGTGTTTTTTCTGGATTCATATTCTTGTTAAATTATTATTATGGATCTGAAAGGTCACCTGGTGTACAACAAGAATGTTTAAATCAACTGATGATGATGTGCATTGCACATAACAACAATATATTCAGGTTGATTGCAATGAGAAATTCATACGAAAGGACAGTATGGTCATTTTCAAGGATACAGGGAATTATAGAGAATGAATACAGGCATTTTAACGACAGAAAGTGGCTTGAAAGTTATAGAGTTCCCAAGACAATCTTCTCTCAACTTTGTACCTTTTTCAACAGTTTATGTGGTAAAACCACGCAAATGCGAAAACCTGTACCTGTACAAGTCATCACTGCAATGGTTTTAAAAAGACTAGGTAAAGGTTTAGACTATCGAGAGATTGGCGATAAGTTCGGAGTTGGTGCATCAACTGCCAATGAAAAAGTAAACGATGCTATGCTATTTCTTATAAAAAATAAACTACACACAATCAGTCGACTGCAAGAGCGTAGGAATTTGGCTGCAATTATTGGTGGCTTTCTAGAGAAATGGAATTTACCACAATGTTTGGGTGCTATTGATGGCACACACATTCCAATTAAAGCACCAGAACATTGTCATACTGATTATTTTAATAGAAAGTGCTTTCACTCAATAATAGTGCAAGCTGTGTGTGATAGTGAGTGTCGTTTCACTGATGTTTTTGCTGGATGGCCAGGGAGGGCA